TCTGTGGAGTGTCTTTCATAGATGTAAAGGAGCACTTAAAAATGAAGCCAGGGCAACTGTTTAGCTTCTGACTATTGAATTATCTACATACAATTTGATGATCAAATGTCGGCACTGGTCAAGAGAGATTGTATGTACATGATGGATTTGTATTTTACTATTTTATATATTTAACAAAATTGCTTCCTGTGTGTCTTGCACTTTTCTAAGCAAGCACTTCAGAAGTATTAACTCATTTAATATTCAAAATAACCTTATGAATTAGGCACTATTATTATTCCCATATGGCAGATGGATAAACGATGCATTGAGAGGTTAAGTAACTTGACCACTGTCACACAGTAGGCTTTGGAGCCAGGATTCAGAGCCCCTAGTCCATGCTTTTATCCACTATACTACTAGGTAAGAGATATAAATAAAAGGAATCAATTCATACTGTTTAATGTCCTTTCATCTTCCTGAGGCCTTTGGTAATTGTTTCTTTTATCTATTTTCCTACAGTAAAAAAATGGTAATTTGTCTCAAAGCATCTTTTAATCTTAGAAATAGAAATATGTACAGACAGTTTTAGCCATTTAGAGGAAAAAATGCTTAAAATATGAGTCAATATAGTGCTATCAATAGCAGCTATCTCTGTAATAACAACAGAATTTTCTTGTTTTTTTTTTTTTTAATTTTCTAGGTTCCATATAATTAATTTAAACATGAGAGAGCATGCGTGCATTTTTTTTTTCAAGAAAAGTACTGGTTACCTTCCTGGAAGAGCACATGTATTTTTCAAAGGCTCTCACTCCCTTCCTAGGAATGAGCAGCTGTAGCCAGGAAGCACATGAAATAAGAAACAGTGCCAGTGGCAGGAGGCCTAGGTTAAAGCTTAAGGAAATTCCCCAGATGATGTTTCTAAAGGGTATTCAAAGGGCATAGACCAGGTAGAAAACAAAATCTAGGATTATTTCAATGGAAACAATTCTCCATTTTATCTTCTCCCAAAGCTTTCCAGTTCAAAGAAAGATAATAGTGTACTCATGGAAAACTGACAGATAAACAATGATATTTTTTTAATCTGAAAACTCAGGTCCTATCTTCTGTGTATATTTATTATATGATCTAAGTTTGGCCCTTACATCTTTCATATCAGTTTTTCTTTGTGCAAATGGGCACAACTATTCCCTCCCACACATTGATGCTGTGAAGCTAAATGAGATAATGTTTACAGTTCCATGCAGGAAGGACATTAAAGATACTCAAAATATCACTATTTTCAGTCCTTCCTTTCTTTAGAAATAGATAGTAATGCCACATATACACAGTGTTGTTGAAGAGTCAAATTTTCCATTGAAGTGATCACTTTTTCAGAAAATAGATACTTGGTCCAGTAAGGACTAAAAGTTTCTTTAAAAGATGTTAACCGTTTTCAAATTGAGTAATTCAAATTTGTTGATTTATTCTTTAAATTAATGTTTATTGAATGCTTACTACATGCAATGCATTTTAATGGCAATCTTTCCTTTTGATTAAACAAAATATATTTTACCTTTTATTAATGACTGTAGGATATCAATACATAAAAAGAGGATTTTACTTGGCTTCAAATGTAACATCAGCCGACATCACAAAGCTGTTAATTCATTTTTAGACTATAGAAATATAAGCCCTAGACCTAAATTAAGGGAACTATTAGTTCTGCTCCATTCTACATTGATCAGACAAACCTGGAATTGAGGTCTAGGTCCACAGTACAAACTGAAGTATATCTGTAAGGGGTAATTAGGATGGTGAAAAGTTTGGAAATCATGTCATATGGGCAATTAAACAAACATCTGGATAAGAGGATAGTTAAGAGGAAGCAATAAAACTTGACTTCAACTCTTCAAATACCTATCAGAAGAGAAACTGGACTTACTCTGTACAGTTGCAGGCGACTAAACTATAAACATAGATAGAAGTTTAAGAAGAGAGATGTCCCAGTGAAATAAAACAGTGCCAAAAATAAGTGGGACTGCTTTTGAGGCTTTTGTTTATTGAGATTTTTAGAACATAAATTGAATGACCACTGGACAGAGATTTTGTGGAGAGGGTTCCCAATAGGGTGAGAAATTGAGCTCAAGGGTCCCTTCTGATTCGGCATGTCCTATGATCCATAAGGAACCTCACGTACTGTACTAAGGTATAATAGAGAGTGATGCCTTTATAGCCTTTGGGTGCTTTGCCTCTTCATTAAAAGGCCTCAGACTGCTGTAGGCTTTGGGGTTTTGGGGTTTTTTTTGGTCCCTATGGATAGTTCTTATAATTTCCCCACTCCCTCCCCAACCTTATTACCTCAAGTGGCCTCAACTTACGCTGTCTTTAACAGCATCCCATTCCATTCTAATTTGTTACTTCTAATATGCTGTGGTCTAGAAAAATATCATAACCAAACATATCAGACTTGTACGAATAATTTAAATAAGGACCTGAAGGGCTCTCCCTTGAGTGAGGTCTTTGGCGCATGGACTTTTTGCCATCTATTATATTTTAGTTATTAAAGGCCCTTTGAACTTTCTTCCAAGTTCTCAGGAATATTCTAAATCTCATTGGTCAGTTATCTGGCTTCTGGAAACTTGTTATTTCAATTCTATATACGTTTGCTAAGCTTCCTACTAATTCATAAAACGACAAAAAACATTCTGAATCCATTACCGAAATTTTCAAAAACACGAAATCATAGGCACTGATATACTTACCATTGAGCAAGATTTTCTTTATATAGGTAAACTTTTTCTGGATAGCATCTTCAAAATGATAATATAATTTATAGCTAAAATTAGACTATATAAGGAAATGAAGTTGATTAGAATGCTGACTACTTTTCTCTTGGGAGCTGCTTCATATATAAAGTATCCATGTAGAATGGACACCTTTACGACATGCGAAATCATTTGGAGTTCATTGGTCTTCTCCTTAGTCCCTATATAACAATAGTTTCAACATAACTCAGTCAAAAACATTTAATGAACATTTACTGCAGGTGTTCCCAGTAAAGGATAGTAAAGAACGTAAGAAAAACATAACGTTTGTACAAAGTGAGTTTTAAAGACTTCTCTATTCTGAATGAGCTTATTAAAGTAAATAAGAAACAGTTAATCAAGTGCAATCAAGGAAGTATATTATCAGTGCAGGATTGGTGCAGATAGTAAATGCTTTTGAAATGTGTAATGAGAAATTGAGTAGTTCTGTGCTGGCTTTGTGAGCACATGTGCTAAAACTGGAAGATTAGCATGGCCCCTGCACAAGGAAGGCATACAACTTTGTGAAGTGTTCTGTATTTTTAACAATATATCGTATTCTTGAACAATGCTAAGAGAGTGGGTATAGTGTTCTCACCACAAGAATGATAAATATGTGAGGTAATGCATACGTTAATTAGCTAGATTTAGTCATTCTGCAATATGTGCATACTTTAAAACATGATATTGTACACGAAAAATACATACAATTTTATCTGTCAATTTAAAAAATGGAGCAGTTCTGCCTAAATGTACTAGATTCAAAAGTTAATAATAAATGTGCATTTTTTTCTTTCCTTCTTTCTTTTTTTCAATTTGCCTTGGCAATTAGGTTAATATTTGTGCCGAAAGCCTTTGGTTGCTATAATTTCCTATCATTTATTTGGTAAAAACAATTGGAAAGGTGTTTCAGTGATTCTATTAGGAGCATATAAGACATGAAAGCCCCAACGTTGCCAATATTAGAAAACTAAAAGGGTTTGTTTTCTAAAATGGATGATGCTGTACGAATTGCTGTCTCATACCTTTTGCCACTTCCCAGTGTTGGCCAGGAGAACGATCTTAATGTCTCCCAAATGGATTACGCTGACCTCAACCCAGTTCCTCCAGGGAGATATAAATTTATAAGTTCCTGGCTGGGTCATTGTAAATAATAACTACATATACCCTAAAGCTCTGAATTGTCCTCATCTGTAGCAGACTCAACAAATGAACGATATCTGTAAAGTAGTTAATTTTCTGGAAAATATTCAAAGGCACAAAATGAGCTCTGTAGTACAAAATTACTCTCGACTTAACTTTTGCCAATTTCCCTGGATGTGTATGTAGAATTATATTTTCAGAGAGCTTGCAAAAGTCCCAGACTCAACTGCTATTTAATCTCCTTCCAGAAGCACCAGCCCTGAGCAATCCTATCTGCAATTAGCTGCGTGTGGTTGCTACCAAACTGTTCCCCATCAGTTATTTCATGACATTATTGTTTCACAGCACTACGTTCTCCGTAGGGTGAGAGTGCTAGGACGGACCGAAGAGCTTTTTGTCATGCCCCTGCCTCTAGACAAGGATGTTCTTAAACTGCCCACTAGTCAATCCTGTGACCCTGTTCTTTTAGCAACCTGAGTTTGAATTAGGGAACACCTTTGACACCCAAATGGGCAAACCCTGGGATCATGTAGGCAGCGATTGTTCAGCCGAGATGCCCACCTGATAAAGGCGGCAGAGGAGCGGCCAGAGCCTCTCAGCGGTCAGCGCTGTCTCGAGGCCCGAGACCCGGGGCTGAGTTGGGGGGTTCCGTCCCGGGTGGTGGGACTCCCGGGGAAGCGGCGGCGGGAGGAAGAGGAGGAGGGTTTGTTTGGCTGGGGGATGTGGGAAGTAGGCGCTAGCCTGTTTCGCGGTTTTTTAAGCCCCTCGGCATGCCCCGACCTGATCAAGAGGGAGTCAACCGCTCTCAGGAATGTTCCAGGAGAAGGTGGGAGACTGCTTCCCCAGGAGGCCTGTGGGTGCTGAAGGGCACCGGGGGGTCACAGGGAGATGCAGGGCGTGCGCCGGGAGGGGCGCGAGGGCAGCGGGGGGCCGGGCTGAGGCGGGCGGGACGCGCGGGCTGCGAGGCAGCTGGGGCGCCCGCTGGGCGCGGGGCACCCCTCCCCGGGCGGCGGCGGCGACCCGGCCGCGCGGCTGCACCGCCCGGGCTGTCAAGCGCGGGGGGCGGGCGGGAGGAAGGGGTGGAGGTGCGAGGGGAGGAGGGCTGGCACCGGAGCGCCGCGGTGTCGGTGCAATAAAAATGCATCCCATGGAACTGCCCATGGAGAAGGACGGGACCGAGACGCGGCGGCCAGAGGAGGTGGTAAGAGCGGAGGAGGACGCCCAGGAGGCGGCGGCGGCGGCGGCCGGGAAGTGAAAGGTCTCGCAAAGTTCAGCAGCGGCTGCGGGCGCCGATCCCCGGGCTAGAGGCGGACGAGCCCGCAGGGGCAGGGCGGCCAGGCCGGCTATGGTCCCGGGGCTCCCGCCGCCCCCCAGCTGCCCGGGCCCCGCCAGGCCGGTGCGCCAGGGTCACCCCACCGCCCGGCGCGGCCCCGGCCCGCTGCTGCCCGCCGCCCGCGCCCACTGACCGAGCCCGGCGCCCCCGGAGGACGAGGAAATAAAGAGCCCCAGTTCCTTCGGAGGACTGCTGGCGCTTCAGCCCGCAGCCCAGAGGTCTCGGCTCCCTCCCGCACCCGCGCGACCCGGCTGCTCCCGGCTCCTCACGGCCATGGGGAGCTGCGCGCGGCTGCTGCTGCTCTGGGGCTGCTCCGCGGTGGCCGCAGGTGGGTGGTGACGCGGCCGGGCCCCCACCCCCTTCCCTCGCTCCTTCTCTCCCCGGCTCGGACTCGGAGGTGCAGGGGAACCCAGGCTGGGAGCGCAGAGCTCTGCTCCCGAGGGTGAAATGAGTGGCCATGTTCCGCCTCCTTTCCCCGGGGCCCCGCACTTTCAAATACTATTGATTTTTTTTTTTTTTTTTTGCAACTGAGATACACATGCCCTTGGATAACCCGATATCCTGGGTGCGCCCTGCCGGAGATACCGCGACCGGGGCCTCTTTCTCGGTTTGGCTGGTAAAAAACTGCCTTTCCACTTTGTGAGGGAACAAAGGACCCAGCTCGCCATCCCCCGGCACTTCATGGCCTGAGGAATGATGAGGAGGGGTGGCCCAGCGACCCTGGGCGCGCGTGGGCCGGGGCCGGTCTCCCCTTTGGAGCGGTCACCAGTGCCCCCGACCTCATGCTGGGTTTTAGGGAGCCAGGTAGGGACACCTGGGGCGGGGGCGAGCGCCCTCTCCGCGGTGCAGCGGCTGGAACGCAGCGGGACTCTGAGTTGGGACAGCAGGTGGTGATCGCCCTTCGGTTTGCACGGAGCTGGCTGGCCGCCCCTGGGGAATTGGTACCCTGGCCGAGGCTCGGCGGGAGGTCGGAGGCGGGTCCGCTCCCTGTCGCCGTTACTGGACAACAGGCAGAGGCGTCGACAGATGCCCTCTTCCCTCCCACTCCCATCCTGGCTTGCCTGGGACACCCTAGGCCACCGGTTCCTGGCTTGTCGTTTCTATATTCGGGAGCCCCTTCTGTGCGTCTCCCCCGCCCCCCCCCCTTACGGGTCACCCGGTTTCCAGGCAGGCGTAAGTGCAGCTGTGTGGGTGAGGGGCAGAGACGTGAGGGACTCCGCAGCCATCCAGGCTCTCGTGCAAACCTCGCCTGCTCCAGAAAGGGGAGCGTGGACTAGAGGGACGGACTGGTAGACCGAGAGCACTGTCGCACGCATCTCTTCACTTTGGCTTTTTCCACTCCCCTCCAGAGCCTCTGGCACCCGGTAAAATCCAGGTTTTAGGGTTTGCATCCCAAACCAGTCGGAGTGATAGCAGCATCTGTGGTAAACTTGGACAGTCACTTTAGGGATTTCCAAGTATTTTGCCCACAGATTATTTGGCTCAGATCTTTTCTGGACTTATTAGTTTAAGGGCATTTAAAATTATTCAGTACTTTTCCCAAAAAGCTGTTAAAGGTCTAAGATTTTACTTTAATTCTTTCTGCTTTTGCATCTTCAAAAGTGAACTTTAATAAACCTTTCCCGCTTCAAACCATGTTACGGCAAAAACATGCAAGCAATAGAGAGGTTGTAAATAAATATCACAAGGCAAATGTTTCAAGTTAAAAATACTTGTACAGGCAGTATATGATTTTCCCCGAAATGCTTTACAGGTGAGTCATAGCACACTGTGTGTTTGTGTGATTCTGGCCACAAGCAATTGTTGCCCCAGCTAATCAGGAAAGTGGCAAACAGAGTCTAGGTATAATGTGCACTTTAATTTGACATTTAAAAAATTAATGCCTAAGGAAGCTGTTTATTTTGGTTGCAAGGCTATGTGGGGTTGGGTTTTGTCAGTGTGTGAAAAGTGTCTGTTTCAGCCTAAGCTGTCATTTGGCTCCCTCCAACACTACTGTGATAACAGTTCAGAGCTACTGCTTTTTAAGAAGCAGAAACATTCAATTAGCCAGAATTTAGGGTTTGATTTCCTTTTTCCCTCTTTTTCTCTCTGTTTTAACCTTTAAAATAGATAATTTTGCTTAAGGTATTCATAATTAAAATGACAAACCCAAATTAAAGGATTATAATAGGTAGTCAGAATGTTAATAAGTGGATAATGTTTATCATTTCCAGTAATTTTGAAACATTAAAGTCTGTTGGACCTTTGTTTGGGAGGAAGAGTGTGTTTCTTTAAGAAGGTGTTTCAGTTCACAGATAATGTTTAAAGGTGCTGTTAGTAGCTGCCAGACTGTAAACATTCTCCTGTTAAGCAAACAGGTAACTACTATATAACCTGTCACAGGTAGAAACCCTCAACAGACAGAGAGCTTGTAGTGTAAAATAAAGTTTCCTGCCATTTGGCAGCTTTGAGTTTTTTTTTGGTTTTTTAGGGTTTTTTTTGGTAGCTATGTTTACTTAATATTGGGAATGGATACTGCACATCTGAGCTCCAGTGGTCTCTAGCTTTGCCTCCCCCTAAATGAATTCCCATTGTATATATATTAAATATCTCATATTGCTTTTCCTAGGCAATGTATCCCTTCATTGGCTTAAAAATATAAAGAAAATAGAATTCTACATGTCCTCCTAAATGCATTCTCATAATAAATGTGTTAAATAATGCTAAAGACTCAAATTATATTTGAAAGGCTAAATTAAGTGATCTTATAAACATATTTTTTAGGTATTGACTTTAAAAACAAATATATTTCAAATATATAAAATGTTTATAAGGCTAACTACTTGAAAAGTTTTAGGCCAATAATCTTCACCCTGATGATTTCATATTCCCTCCTCTCATCCTTTATCTAAAGTGATTTTTCCTCTTATGTGAATTTTACATCTGAACATAAAACACCAAACACCCCCCCACACACACACCTGTATACACAAATGCATTGTGAATGCAGAACAGTGTTCATGCTCAAATATGGTAGAACTTCTCCTGTATTGAAAGTCTCAAGCTCTTGGCAGGTGGGATGCCTAGTCCATTGCAGATGGACTAGGTAGCTGGAAGAGCTTCCCAGATGGGTTTTTGTCTTGAATAACATATGCTTTCCCCTCCTTAGGACTGAGTGGAGTAGCTGGACTGAGTTCACGCTGTGAAAAAGCCTGCAACCCTCGGATGGGAAATTTGGCCTTGGGGAGAAAACTCTGGGCGGACACCACGTGTGGCCAGAATGCCACTGAACTGTACTGCTTCTACAGTGAAAACACTGACCTGACGTGTCGGCAGCCCAAGTGTGACAAGTGCAATGCTGCCCATCCTCACCTGGCTCACCTGCCGTCTGCCATGGCAGACTCCTCCTTCAGGTTTCCTCGCACGTGGTGGCAGTCGGCGGAGGATGTGCACAGAGAAAAGATCCAGTTAGACCTGGAAGCTGAATTCTACTTCACTCATCTAATTATGGTGTTCAAGTCCCCCAGGCCGGCAGCCATGGTGCTCGACCGGTCCCAGGACTTTGGGAAAACATGGAAGCCTTATAAGTACTTTGCAACTAACTGCTCAGCCACATTTGGCCTGGAGGATGATGTTGTCAAGAAGGGAGCTATTTGCACTTCTCGATACTCCAGTCCTTTTCCGTGCACTGGAGGAGAGGTAAGGGCACCCGTTTAACTCTACACTGTAAGGAAGGAAGAAAAATGTTACCAGCCCACATTTTTTTTAAAGCATGAAGCTATACTTGTAGGAACATGAATGAAATTAGAATTTTTCATGAGCTTTATTTGTCATAAATTATTTCTCAGCCTTAGACATGGATGTGTAGTCATTTTCAAGTAGATCACCTACTGGCTGGGTTTAAGTCAGAACTCTAAAATTCTAATTTTTTTCATTTAAAGAAAGAGCAGACACACATCATCGCTCTCCCATAGAGGCTTAAAGGCTTAAAAGGCTACTGATTTCTTCAGTTAGTGGGACTACTTATTGTGTTTCTGAAGGGGGAAGAGTTACTGAGACAGCCTGTTCCCGGAGGCCACACAGGGTATCTTCCTGATACTGTTAATATAAATAGGAAGTAAATAAAAACAAAGCCAAGGAAGAAAAAAAAATCTGTTTGTCAGAAGGATACTTTTGTATGACAGTGGAGTTTTATTGTAAAGTCTAAGAGTGCATGGCAAGCAAATGAAGGTAGCTTCTTTTAAGACACAAAGGTACCCTGTGGGTTGCAGACATATCGGTTCCAGTTTAGGCACTTGGGTCTATCCTGGACCCAAGGCCATCTGAAGCTCATTCTGCAAAATACCCTCCTTAGCTACTGATCCAATTTATGTACTAAATGTTTTCTCTTTGTTTAATATTTCTCTTCCTCTACAGGGGAAACAGTTCCTTTTAACTTATGTGGCAGTACCTAGAAAGTACCCCCTCCCAAATATAGTAAGAACATTTAGAGAAAACTGGATGAAAACAGATTAAGAGGATATTGTACCTTCAATAAGTAGATCAATAAATGTTGATTCAGAAAAATGAGAAGAGAGAGTATAATCTTTCTAATTCTAGTACATGTCATGAATATATAGACTAGATAAGTGGTTCTCAATAGGGATGTTTCCCCACCCCCCCATCCCGCACCCCCAGAGGACATTGGGACATTTGGCAATGTGTGGAGACATTTTTGCTGGGGGGAGGAACACACTGGCATCTAGTGGGTGGAGACCAGGGCTGCTGCTAAACCTCAGACAATGCATGAAACAGCATTCCCCACCCCACCCCCAACAAACAATTATCTAGCCCAAAATGTCAATAGTACCAAGGTTGAGAAAGCCTGGACTATTAGGCACACATCCAATGCATGTGTTACAATGGCTACAGAAACTAGGATAAGCACTCTACTAGCATCATTTATACAACTATTCTCAGACTGGTTGTATTTAATAAGCTTTTATTGAGCCCCTGCTATGTGTCAGGTGCTGTATACAGTGCTACCAATTCTGCTTTTAGAGTAGAGTGGGGCAGGGCTTGCCAGGGGCTTGATGAAAAGGTTGATTTGGGAACTCTTTCCCCCCACCACCTTAGACACATGGGGACTTTCGCCATATCCTCCAGCTAGTTCTTCTGTGTGTACACTGAAGACACCACCAAGAATAGTGCTGCTGGCATCAGAACCAAGTAGGACATGGTGTAAGCAGCACACCAACTTTTCTGTTCTTATTCATGGTCCCTAAAGTTGGCCTAATGTTGTAAGCTGGTTTGCACCCTGTCATGTTGGACATTTTTAAAGATACCAGGACAGGAAAGAGACAGATAAGTTAGACTCATTGTTTTTGTGTGTGGAGGATACTTTGTGTTGAAAACAAATGAATGGCTTGAACTCTCAAATTGCCTTGGAATTGATCTATGGCTCATATCGGCTCCCTGCATCTCAGTGCTACTGGGCCATGTGTATCTAGGAAGCAGAGAGAATACAGTTTTGGTAACCAGATGGCAGGCATGCTTGCTTAGCAAATATCACATTCAACTTATTACAACGGTCTAGAATTACATAGAGATGACTAAAGTAACATTTAACTAACCTATAGTGGAAGTGCAATCTTGTGTTCTTTAAAGTCAGACTACTTACTGGCATCATGCTTACATCAAATTCTAAGCAGACAGGAACTAAAATTTGTGTTAGTTATTTCAATATGCAGACACTTTCTAGACTGAGTTTGTAAACATTTTTAATTGTAGTTGTTATTTTAGCAGACTTACGTTTTAATGGTAAGAAAATCATCAAGCGTGACCTACTTCCTTCTAGAGCATCATTTGCAAGTGTACATTAAGTCATTATAGAATTTCTTCCCTTCAGAGGACAGATTTGGCAACTAATCTACTTTCCCTAGAAAGTAGAGAAGAGAATATTTGTCGAAGATAAGCACCATAGAGAATCTACCTGGAAATGATTTTTACCTACCTTTCCTCTGTCACTTTGGAATATAAATTAGTGCTGATTTACAAATTTATTTTGCAGTTACAACTCTATATCATCAGTGTCCATCTTTAGAAATTGAGTGTTCTGAAAAATAAGCTAATTAATCTAGTTTCAAATAAGAAGTCTCAAATTCATTTATTGCTTATTTACAATATTATAGATTTGTATCTTCCTCCATTATATATAAGACTTCTCTAGGTATTGTCCTACTACTCAGGCTAACATAAATATATCCCAGACTTAATTTGTTTCTAGCATTCATTCAAAAATACTGCTTTGGGTTTTGAGAACTGGTAGCCTCATGTCTAAGGCATCAGATACCTCCATCGACAGAGTTGAAAGCACCAGTCATCTGAAAGAGGACTTTAAACACATAGGCCACAAAATCCACCCAGAAGAACACTTTTTAAATGAACATTAAACCGGCTACACAGAAACTTCCTAAACTGGCCAGCAGTTTTAAAGAATGGGATTGTTATCCTAAAATGTATCCCTACCAAGGATATGAGATTGAGGCTCGAAGGCAATGTGATTTTCCCAACAACACACAGTTATGTGACAGAGCTAGGACTAAGTCCCAAGTCTTTTTTCCTTAAGTCTAGTATTTGTCCCGTAAAACTATGTTCTCTTTCTATTGTTGACCCCCAAGACCTTCTGGCAGAGAGATATATTCATCTCCCCCTCCTCCTTCACTCTCTTAAAGTCATTTGCTGCTATTCCCTTGAATATGACATGAAGGTAAAAAAGAATTTGCCAGTTTTCTCCTAAGCAGTTTTCAGGAGAAAAAAGAATTTGCCAAACAGTTTACTCCTGAGCAGTTTTCTCTTGTCCTCTGAGATGTCAGTGGTGTTCTAGAAATAAAAGGTTTCATTGTCAAATTAGGCTGGGAAACACTGACTGGATTTAGCAAAGCTAAACACTTATAAATACATTAATATTCATAAGAATATTACTTATTAAGTACCTTATCTGTTCAAATGGGAGATCTAGGATGTGACATTCCCAAACATGTTTGGCTATGGTGCCCTCTTTTTGCTGAACTCCAGTTACTATCTTTCAGGACTCCAGAGACCCACAGGGCCCAATGTGGGAAATTCTGGGATGGAGGTATAAAGTGCTCCCAAAACCCTGGTGAAAGGCATAGATAGGCCTGGGGCTGATATCAAGTTTGACATCAAGACTGTCTGTCAATTAGGAGCTTAGTCTCCTATTTAGTTGGAGCAGTAGATAATAATAACCCTGAAGCTAAAGATTATAGGTTAATTAGGCTTTTTTTTTTTTTTTTTTTTTGCGACAGAGTCTCACTTTGTTGTCCAGGCTAGAGTGAGTGCCGTGGCGTCAGCCTAGCTCACAGCAACCTCAAACTCCTGGGCTTGAGTGATCCTTCTGCCTCAGCCTCCCGAGTAGCTGGGACTACAGGCATGCGCCACCATGCCCGGCTAATTTTTTATATATATATCAGTTGGCCAATTAATTTCTTTCTATTTATAGTAGAGACGGGGTCTCGCTCTTGCTCAGGCTGGTTTTGAACTCCTGACCTTGAGCAATCCGCCCGCCTCGGCCTCCCAAGAGCTAGGATTACAGGCGTGAGCCACAGCGCCCGGCCTAATTAGGCTTTTTCTGCATGCAAAGGGGCACCCTCAGCTCACCTCTGGGTACAGAAAACACAAGGAAATGGAGAGATGTGGCAAACCATTTTAGCTTCCACATAGGCCTCGTGAAACTGGAATTTTGATTATCACTGTTTAGGAAACAGCATCTGTTCCAGTGACCCAAAAACAACTCTAAAAGGGATGTGGTTGTTGTCTCCTTAGAAGTGAGCATCACTTGCTCCCTGCTCTATTAACTTTTTATTAAAAGGACTCTATTCAAAATTGGATAGCAACCAACAGATTCTTTTTCTCCAGGGTATTATGAATATATAACACTCAAAGGAATAATATATATTCATATATTATGAATATATAACACTGCTGTAAAGTCAGAGGCAGCAGTACAAAGAAGCCACGAACAGAGGGAGTACCTGGGTCTTGATGCAATACTTAATAGACAAGGATTGTTAAAGAGGGTAAGGATTGTGTCTGGTCTTATTTACCTCTGTATTCCCAGCAGTTAGCACATTGCTTGGATCATAGTAGGCAGTCAATAAACCAAATGAATAAATGAGATGACAAGCAGGAATGGGGTAGGAAAAATGACAGAGAGGGAGAAATGAATAAGCAGCTTTGGACAGGGGAAGGGATTTAGAGACACTGGTTCACATGGAAAAGCTGAGTTGATAGTAATATGAGACCACTTATGGTATGGGAAGGGCAATTAACAACAGATCTTAAATAATGTTTATTCACCCATTCATTCAACTAATTTTCAAGCTACCATGAGATCCCATTCCGGGTGCTAGGGATATAGCAGTGAACACATAAAAATCCCTGTTCCCATGAAACTTAGGTTCTAGTAGGGGAGAAGGTGAGATAAAGAACAAAAAAGTAAAATATACCATATGTCAGGGTGTGATAAATACTAATGAGAAAATAAAACAGGGCAGGGGATGAAAGAATGCTGGCAGGGAAGGGTTTGCTATTTTTAAAACAGATTGAATGATTTGTGTTTGGTGGGATGGACAGTGACAAGGACATTGACTTCTGGTCAAATTTCCATGAGTGAACAAAATCTATAATCAAGGGTCACA